CAGAGCACAGTGGCCCCAGCCCCCACTCTAGAGCTCTGCCTCGAAGATTCCTCCTGGAGCCACTCCAGAGCCCCCAGCTTTCGGGGACTGAACTCTGACCCCCATTCTTTCAGCATGAATTGGGTCTGCCTGAAGGCAGAGAGGGCCAGAACAGTGGTGGGGGTGGGGTGAGTAGGGGATAGGGAAGTGAGGGGGTGTGGAGGGGGCCTGGCAGGCCTCCAAGTAAAAATAGCAAAGCTCAACAGAAATGTCCCTGCAGAGATGCAATGCAGGTCAGTGGCCTGGGAAAGGCTGGCAATAGAGAGTCAGCTAAGGGGCCAGTGGAGGAACAAAGAGGTCTTGGAGAGAGGATACAGGCCTGAGCTCCAGCCTCTGAGAGACATACCTCCCCAGGCACCCCAGCGCTGGGGGGATCTCTTGTGTGGGGCATGAGGGGAATGACTGGATGGTCACCTGCTCTAGTCCCTTACCTCTGCAGCCCAGAATGACTTTTTTGTCTCCCTGCCTTCAGAGTCCAGCCTCAGTTTGGTTCCTGTAATACACACACACACACACACACACACACACACACACACACACACACACGCGCGCGCGCGCGCGCACACACACGCACGCACGCACGCACGCTCACTAAACTGCAATCTGGTCAGGTCACCTTTCTCCTTAAATCCTCACCCAGCCATCACTGTTCTTGAATGTCCTTAGCTGGAGTGATTCTCTGAAACCTCATTCCTGCAGGGTACCTGGACTGATAAGTTTAGAGAATGCCCTACACTGTCTGCTCAGCTTCACAATCCATAGGTCCATCAGCAACCTACAGATGGTTCATCGTTACCAACCCCAGACCCCAGCATCTCTGGCTCTGAATGCCCAGCTGCCCCAATAGAGAAGCCTTCAACCTCACAGCACACACTGTGAGCTACTCTGCCTTCACCCCAGCCCTGGCCCCCATCCCACCTTCATTTCTCTCCATCTTCTGTCAGCTCCCAGCCCTTCAACTCAATACGTTCTCTTTTGAAAAGCAATGACGTGTTAATTAATTCGTTTATTTGGTGTGTGTGAGGGGTTTGTACTGCTGATGAGCATGCAGAAGTCAAAGGACAACCTGTAAGAGTCGGCCCTGTCCTTCTACCATATGGGCTCTGGGAACTGAATTCAGGTCACCAGGCTTGGCCACAAGTGTCCTTACTAGCTGAGCCACCTCATCAGCCATCTCTAACGTTCCTTGCTCCCATTCTCAGTTGCCCTAGTTTTCTGTCTTTGGGCTTCAGGCTGCACATCCACCACGCTGTCCCTAAGTATTAGAGTCCAGAAGAGGCTAGAGACAAGTGTACTCTTCAATAAGCTGGAGCCAGCCCCGATTCTGCTCTCTGGCTTCTCCTCAGCCTGCCTGGTACCCAGTGTGACTTCTCTGTATGCAATTACTTTTAGTATTCACAGAAGGGGCCCTTCTGGGGTTTTGCCAAGGAGTGCCACATTTTGTAGCCTATCCCTCTTTACAGAACACCCATCATGTCCTTTGGTGAAAGGGAAAGACATAGACAGACCTCCCTACCGCATTTGTGGCCTTTTGTCTGTGGTGGAGGGCTTTTGCCTGCTTTGTAGGTCTCCTGCCTCACCCCTTTCTGGTTAAGTAGTCCAGCCATACTGGAAAAAGCATAGCTCTGGTTTACATGATCATACCACTTGTAGTCTCATCCCCTTCAGACCTGCTCTTTGTGCTCACCCCTGGCTGGACCACACGCCTGCCCATCAGGCACTGTCAGCACACACGGTAAGCATGGTTTCCAGGTTCTCTGCAGTGGAAAAGGAGAACTCAGCACAGGCCCCAGATCCTGGGAGCTGCACCCAGTTCCTGTGTCAGAGAGGCCTTGGCAAAGGTCCATGAGCAAAAAGGTAAAGAAGAAGCAGCAGCAACAGAAAACGGAGGCAATCTCAGAAGAGTTACGGGACTCTGCCTATCTGTCTCAGGCTGACAGCTGGTCTCCGCTATGTAGCAAGAGTCTTTCTCTGGATCCTGAGTCTGGGTCTACAGATGAACCATGGTGGAGTGTCTTTGTTGCCCTCTTGGTTTTCATGCTCCCTGGGAGCCAGAGTAGCAATGGCAGCCTGCTTTCTTCCTGGACACTGTCCTTGCTTTAAGCCTGGACAATAGCACCACTGTCCTCCTGCTGTGGAAAAGCCAACCTGGAAGCAGACCCCCCTTAACTCCTTATGACCCACCATGCCTCCCCTTTCCTGTTTTCCGTGTGTGTGGTGTATGAATATGTTCATGTATATTTGCGCATGTGTGCAATGAAAGCTAGAGAGTAACATTAAGTATCTTCTTCAATTGCTCTCCATTTTATCTTATGACAAACTGTACCTGGAGATAACCAACCCAGCTCATCTGACTGGCCAGTGAGCACCGGGAATCCACCTCTTCAGCACTACTATTACAGGCATGCCCACTATGCCTGACTTTTTACATGGGTGCTGGGGATCTGAACTCAGGTCCTCATGTTTGCACACCAAGCACTTTACCAGCGGAGTCATCTTCCTTGCCCATCTCTCTACCATGACTCCTTCTGCTTTCTCTTTCTTTCCTTTCCCTTTAGTCCATGTAGTCGGTGTCTTTGCTGCAAAACCTGCCCATTGCTGTTCTGCCTCATCCGCAGCACTGTCTTTACTAGCTTTCCCTGAGGTATAAACGATGGTGCTGGCTCCAGTTTCTACTCCTTTAGCCTCTAGCTCCCATTCCTGTCTTTAGTAGGTAATGCCTTGCTGGCCAGAAGTGTTGAGTGGAGGTGGAGGCCTGCGTTAGCTCCATGACATCCTTCTTTTGGCCCCGTCACTGTAGAGACACTAAATTCTTTGTCAGGTTTGACTCTATGGCAGCCCATCCCTGCTTACACAGCCAGGACAGGACACCCAGCTTGTAGACCCCAGAGCACAGTGTAAAGGCAGGGTCCCTTGTTCAGAGATTACAAACTTCAAGATGGAGGGCTTAGGAACTGGTTCAGATGGCAAAGTGTTTGTCCCACAAATATGAGGGCCTGAGAGCCGATGGAAATACAGGCATAACGGTGTGCAACTGGAATCCCAGTGCTGGGGATGGGATCACTAGGGCCAGCATCAGGGCACGCTGGCCAGCCAGTCTTGCCCAGTTGGTGAGCTCCAGGTTCAGTGAGACCCTGTCTCAAAGAATAAGGCGAAGAATGATAGAGGATGACCCCTGGTGCCCACCTTTGGTCTCCACGCACATATGCATGCAACCACACAGGTAAAGACATAGAAATCAAGTATTTCAAGATGTCAATGCCAGAGATGCTTTCCATTTTCCAATCCAGTTACCAAGTCCTTTCATGCATATGACTGCCTACAATGGCACAGATGGCACATGCATCAAGCCGTCCCCACCCATGCCCCTTTCCAGCCAGGAATGGCCCCTCTCCACCCTCTTGTCCTCAGCTGTCTTAGCTGCTTCTCAGGGCCCTGGGCAGACCAATCTCAGCCATTTCCAGAAGTGCAGGGCCCCTCTTCAGTAAGCACTCGGCACAAATCACTTCCAGGTCTTTGGGGAAAGCTCACCCCACAGCACCTCTAGGCGATGGAGGATTTGCCTCTTCTGAAAATCAATTCACATATGAGCCCCACCTGGCTGCGCCTGCGGAAATGAGGGTGCATTGATCATCGTTGATCACCATGCTCTAAATGGTCAATACTCAGCAGTTAAGACAGGAGTAAGAGCAGGCCCCAAAAGGACCTTGTGTGTTCAGAGAAAAGTGATCTGGTTAGGAAACAGAATTTTACAACACATCCGTTATGACAACAGCACTCTGATGAACAGGGGAGCTTTTTGTTTTGCTTTGTTTTTTGTTTTGTTTCCCAACCCAGGGAGAGAAAGTGAACTTTAGGGAAAGAGCACAGCATGGTCAATGGCTGAGTTGAGGCCATGTGTAGCCAAGTCCTAGGATTCTGAATCAGACAGTTTGGTTGAGGTGTATCAAAGGTGAAAACAGTGGAAAGAGGTTGGAATGATATTTTGAGGCATGGAGGAAACGCTGGAAAGGCATGGTGAAGTCTGTGTGCCTCCTGAGGGCCGGCATTGATTTTCAGATCTGCCCCTGTCAAAGCAAAGGCAGGAGAGCTAGGCTTCCTCTCTAGGCCTTCCCAGTTGGCCTGCAGAGCACAAACCCGCAATTTTAGGCAAAGCAAACGGCTGCACTTCCCTGCATTTTGCCTGTTCGGTCTCTTCGACAGCTATCCTGTCCTAAGCCAACAACTAAAAGATGGCCTGGGTTCCCTTCTGACTAAAGCAGAAGACCAGCATTGCTAGCCTGAGTTCCGTACAGACATGACTGGCAGGGGTGGGGGTTGGGCCTTTCCCGCCACTCGTTCTAATTGGACCTCAGAGTATGTGCTAACTCAAAAGCCTGAGCCCAGAAGACCTGACCCGCTAGTGGCAGCCAGAAAGTATGGTTGGGTGGGAAGAAAGTGGTTCCCATCCCGGTGGCCTTACTATTCATTGTAACCAACCTTACAGAAAGGACATTTTCAAACATAGCCAAAAGTAGAGAAATGATGTTATGATCCCCGAATCCCCACTACCTAGCTAGCTCCACACATCTCCTCCAGGCCGACGTGACTTCATTAAACCCTCTCCCACCACCCATTTTAAAACAGGATGTGGGCGGCGGGGCGGGGGAGGCACCGGGGGAGAGCGGGTTCCAAGCTGCATCACTGGTGACTGGGAAGATGAGGAATGATGAGGGGCACCGTAGGGCGGGGAGTTGGACTCGCCCCTCGTGGGCCACCCCCTCCCTCGTGCAGGGCAGGGGCGGGACCTGAGGCGGGGCCCAGAAGGGGGGGGCGCTACCCTAGTGACTCAAGGCTCGTGCGGCTGGGCTCAGAACGCCAGTCTCTCCCTGCAGCGCCTTGTGTTACCACTCTTCAGCAGAGGTCGGTGCCTGCTGCTTCCTTCGCGCCACCGCCGCCACCGCCACCGTCGCCGCCGCCACCATGCCCAACTTCGCCGGAACCTGGAAGATGCGCAGCAGCGAGAATTTCGACGAGCTCCTCAAGGCGCTGGGTAAGCTGGTGCGGAGGGCGTGCCCGGTCTGCTAGAAGCAGCTGAGAGGTACCCGTGTCCCAGAGCGGGTGGCCGCGGGAGGTTCAGGCAGGAGGGGAGTCTATGGAGTGATAAATCTGTTTCCCGTGAGTTCCCCCGATTGCAGAGAAGAGTCAGCTCCTGAACCAACCGGTTCAACTAACGTTTGCAGGACATTTGGAGCCTTTCTCGACGGTTCCATCTTTATCTCGAGACCTAGACCACAGGGAGGAGTAGGAACTTTAAACTGTTTGCGACGAAATCTTGCCATGAAAGCACTGGGTAGCCCAGGAAAGCCACTTGCCATCTCTGAGCCTCAGTTTCTGTTCTCGAAAGCCCAGGAGAGGACGGAGACAAGTGGAACTAATCTAAGACCCTCTGTCTAAAGTCAGAGGGTTTGGGAAGTGTCAAACAGGTCTGGGAGTAAGGACCTGAGACCCGAGCCCGTGCTTCCTTGCGCAGGTGTGAACGCCATGCTGAGGAAGGTGGCAGTGGCGGCTGCGTCCAAGCCTCACGTGGAGATCCGCCAGGATGGGGATCAGTTCTATATCAAGACATCCACCACCGTGCGCACCACGGAGATCAACTTCAAGGTCGGAGAGGGCTTCGAGGAGGAGACAGTGGACGGACGCAAGTGCAGGGTGAGGCTGTGGGGACCGCACCTCCTTCCCGGGCACCTCTTTCAACCCTTGGTCACGCTACAGCTACAGCCCGCGCACTTTCTTTGCAGGGTGTGTCACGAGAGGTTTGTGTGACCTGCTGGTCCTCAGGAGAAAGCCCTACCCCGTTTCCTATACCATCCCCCGGGCGCAAATAGGCGCGCTTTTGCTCTGGGTGACTGTGTGGTCCTGCCTGTGGTTAGTGTCTCGCTAGCGGCGCCTTCAGCGCCAGCTCCGGCGGCATGGGTAGCGGTTCCCGGGACCGTTGCTGCCTCTTGTGCGCAGCTGCCGAGTTACCTGTCGAAGGTGGGGTCCCACCCTGTGGGTCGCTGAACCGTGGGAGGACGCTTTGGATCCAGTTGCAAAGTTCGGATTGCCTACCACCCCTTCCTGCCCTTCCGTGTTTAACCGTGGTATTGAAGATAATAGCGAAATTCTTCCGAAAGCAAAAGCAATGCAGGTTCTAGCTGACAAAATGAACTAAATGTCCTTTCTAAGTCCTCAAGGTGGGGAAGTAGAAAGAGGTGGGTAGGGATAGAGGGGAAGAGGGGAGGGGGGCGGGGAGAGATTGATTTACAAGAAGACAGGGCTTGCTATGTAGCCCTGGCTAGGCTAGCCTGGAACCCTGGTGTAGACCTGGTGACCTCGAACTCAGGATTCTCCAGCCTCACCCCCTGGAGTGCTGCGATTACAGATGTCCACCACTATATCCAACAGGCAAGATAGGTTTTTGTTGCTTTTTGTTTTTGTTTTTTAATTTCTGAAATATGAGCCACAGGATGAGTGAGTGATCTGGAGCAAACGGCTTTACGTTGCACCGTTTCTTTACGTTGCACCGTTTCTTTACGTTGCACCGTTTCTTTGCAAAGCTTGCACTGATAGCAAAGCCAGTCTTGGTATCTCATTTACAAAGGACGTCCCCCTTTCTCCACTGTGGGTTTTGTGGTTGCTGTTTTGTATTTTGTTTTCTTGCTAGGTTGTTTGTTTGAGAAAGGATCTCATGCTATAGCCCAAGCTGGATCCAACTTGCATCAATCCTGTTTCTTCCAAGTGCTAGGATTACAAAGTGAACCACCATATCCAGATTTTCCAATGTTCTAAAAAAATTATAAATGAGGCCAAATATTGTGGCCTAGTCCCTTAATCCCAGTACTCACTCCAATGGCAGAGGTAAGCAGATCTTGTAAGCTCAAGGCTAAGCAGGCCTACAGAATGAGAAAAATTGTCTTTGCATTGTAACAACATTCTAAAGAATTTTACTTTAGGGATTTGTCGCTCCCACTGTCCTACAATGTCTCCATTTTTTGTTTTGTTTTGTTTGGTTTTTGTTTTTTGAGACAGGCTCAAGCACTGTCCTGCAATGTCCCTATGTGTTTTTGAGACAAGGTCTCCCACTGTCTTTCAATGTGCCCGTGAGTTATTTTGTGGTTGTTGTTTTGGCACAATGGGAAAGTATTTCTTTCCTCTTTCCTGGGCACATACCTGTCCGTTCCCATTGTGACTCAGGTCCCATGTTTGGAAGGACAGAGAGACATAGCCCCCAGTAGCAGGCTCCCTCATGAGACAGTCTTTGCCCATCAGAGTTGATCCCTGCTTTGAAGCTAATGTGACCTGAGGTTCAAGACACCACATTGTTTGGGAAGAAAGAAAAAAGGATGTGCTTGGCTGGGAATGCATACAGCCGTGGTGCAGCACGTGCCTAGCATGCCGTATGCCCTGGGTTCAATCCTCTGCATCATAGACTGCAAGGGGTGGAAGAGGAATGGGCGTCTAGTGGAGAAGTGGGCTTGGCAATAAGTAGGGCTCAATTTGGAGACATCTAACTCTGGCCACTGCCAGAGAGGGCGATTCTGATTTAAGAACAACAAAAGACTCATGTAACACACCCTGGAGAGAACAGGGCTTTCGAATTCACTGTCCCTTCCCCCATCCTTTGCCTAATGAAGGAGTCCCATGTGTTAGTTAAATGGTGATTATGTGCGCATTCAGCACCACCCAGCCCAGCTGTACCCCCACTTTGCTGTATAGAGAGCCAGGAGAACTAGATGGATTCCCCCTTTTGCCTGTCCACCTCCACCCCCATGAAGAGCCTTCAAATTGGCTTGATTTTTAAATGTTTCTAGAAGGATGTAACCTGGAAAGTGGAAGCCTTTTTTATCCCCAGAGACAGACACGGGTTTATTAGAGCAGGCTGTGTGCTCTGTCTGATGAGGAATGCAGAGAAAGGAGGGGGCACGGACCCATCTTCTCATCTCCTGCCACCAGTGTGGCTGCAAACAGGAGGTCTCAACAGTTGTCATGTTTTATGGCCCTGCCATGAAGTTACGTTCAAAGTCCAAATTGTTTGGAGAGGTTCTCTGTGTTGATTAAGTGCATCACCGGGTGCTCTGAATTTTCTTCCTAGAGATGCAAAGCATGCCCAAGGCTTTGCTGCTCCAGTGAGTCCCTGTATGTGTGACACAAAGTATATTTATATTCCATAAAATCCGTGACCAGCACTTCGTGTGGTTCAGCAGAGAAGATGTGAGCCCCGCTGACAAGGGCCATGTGTTACCTTCCTGCCTGACAATTATTCTCCGGTGTTCTTTGTGTTCGTCCCATCCTGCTGCCCAGACTGTAATTAATATCACTAATGGTTTTCCTGCCTGCAGAGTCTGCCCACTTGGGAGAATGAGAACAAGATTCACTGCACACAAACTCTTCTTGAGGGGGATGGCCCCAAAACCTACTGGACCCGAGAGCTGGCCAACGACGAGCTGATCCTGGTAAGGGCCCTTTGACTCTGAGACAACTCCAGGGTTCCCACACATGACCCCCAGAGGTGGGCCATACAAGTGTGCTGTCTTCATGCTCACGGTTTGAGAAAGTCATTTGCCACAGGTTAAAATTTGAGCAGAAAGTTTGGACTGACGTGGTTGGCAGGAGAGAAGGGGGCTGGCTGAGAGGCCAGAGACATATCTGAGACTGGCTGGAGTGCCAGACCTTTGTCCAAACTGTTCTATACCAATCTCAGTGGTAGGTGATACCCAGTCTCCTCTGGCTTGGCTGGGAATGCTGAGGCTCTGTGGGATCCCTCAGCTTATATAAACGATATCCCCCCATGACCCATTTTACTAGTAAAGTTTCACCCATGTTTATCACATCAGCATTCAAAGCCACAGAGAATATTTCGACTCCAGATTTACAAGCTCCAATGGCCCCCAGGAGCCAGGCAAGGAATGCTAATTTCAGAAATGTCTGAATGCAATCTTGTGGAAAGGTGGACTCTTTAGGGCTATAGGAAGTGGACACTGTTTAAAAGAATGCTGATGGGAACCTTTTTGCGTTCGTTTTTGGTATTTTTGTTTTTATTTTTGAGACAAGGTTTCTCTGTGTAGCCCTGTCTTGTCCTGGAACTCGCTCTGTAGACCAGGCTGGCCTTGAATGAACTCAAACATTCGCCTGTCTCTGCCTCTTGAGTGCTGGGATTAAAGGCGTGAGCCACCTTGCCTTGCATTTAAACATTTTAAATATCCACAATCAAGCACAGCTTACCTGGTGAGGTCACGTTTATATCTAACCCACTCCTCAATGTGACATTCTGAAGATTGGGGCAGGAGGATCATGAGTTCCAGGTCAATTGGAGCTATAGAACAAGATCCTATCTCTAGCAGAAAAACAAATGGTTCAACTGATTCACACCTTCCCCAGTTTTATGCAGAGGAAAAGGGGGAGGGTTGAGGCCAGACAACCCCCACTTACTTTCCCTCTGTGTTTCAGAACTAACTGATGGCTCCCACCCCAGGCTAGAAAAAAGAAAAGCCCTTGTGGGTGACCAGGAACTTAGTCTTTGTTTTTCATTAGGCATTCTATTAACATCACCGCTGTTAGACACTGAAGCCTGAAACGTTTGCTGGGGAAAGATGCCCTGTTCCCAATCCTTCCCAAGCTCCAGTCTCCGGCTGCAAAGTGAGACTGAGCTGTGGCCCCTGGGATTCCTTTCAGCCCGAAAATTACATGTTTAGCCTGCAAGAAGACCCTAAATTGAGCTGCCTGTTACGTTGAGACTGTTTGATCTCTCCCCTTCCTCTCTTCTTGGCCTCTGCTAGGATGATTTAACTAGCTCTTCTCCTTTCATGGACAGAGCGCTGGTTTAATTTGCCGAGGGCTACTTCATGGGCTCAGTGAGCAGTCTGAGGCTGGGACTTGGAAATCTAGGAAGACAGGCACATGTAGTTTATAGGGACTGGAGGCAGCAAGGAGGGATGATGTTAGTTCTCGAGTCTAGCTGAGGATTAAGTAGGATTGACCAGTTTACATCAAAAAAGTGAAATGTTGGTAACTTCTGTAATACTGAGCCGCCAGAGTTGCGGGCTAAATGTTGGTGAAGGACTCCACCATATTTTGTCCCTTACTACCCCCACACTGCAGTTCCTCCCAGGCATCCTTTCCTGGCTCAGAAAACATATATGCAAGCCTCAAAGGGAGCATTAATTCTTGGCATTTGGGATGTGAAATGTGGGCTTTTGTTTCAAGGGTTATTATCGTTAATAAATCTAAAACGTTGGGAGATGTAATCTTCATGTAACGAGAGGTAAGTAACTTTAGTTTGGATGAAATAAGTGTCCCCAGAGCCAACAGTAAATTGCCATGGGCTGTAAATTGTCTTCCTTTGAAAACTGAGTATGCTCCCCCACACTGCTCTGGAATATTCTATAGAGTTTCTTTCTGGAACCTCTGAGCACAAATGGATGCAGTGGGAGGCTGGAAAGGGTTTTGCAATTGGAGTTAGAAATGTGACGATTTCCTTCCATCTCATGAAACTATTTTTTTTGGCCTGGGTGAGCTCCAAAGGCCTATGTGGCTATGGAGCTCAAGGAATTCTGGGAAATCAGCATGGCTCTTGGGATGCAACATCTAGCAAGTAGATTTATGATGGTAACTGTTCCCCAGCCCAATCCCCGATGTATGCCCAGGTCATAGAATCATCCACATTCCTCACTAATGGTAAGGCACAAAGCCCTTAAACTCCCTGTCCTGTCAGGACCTCCTTAATACTCAATATACGCAAAGACTATTTCTTGGAGGCAGACAGTGTCTTAGTAAATATCCCAAGAACATCTGGTCACTGAGGGATCCAAGGGTAAGAATGTGAAATACATCCTGTTCTTACGTTGATTAAAATCAAACAATGGGGCTTGTAGAGCATTTGCCTAGCCCCTGTAATCTATCCCCAACATGGCAAGATAAATAAACAGATTTTAAAAGAATCTTACGACCTTGAGATAATTAAGTTCATAGCATGATAGTCTTAGCTCCTCTTAAGTTGCCAGTCATTTGGGGAACTTGAAAGGTAAGGACCTGCAACAAATAAACATACATATATACTCACATCAAGGTTGCCAACTGGGGAAGTTTTATCTTTGTTTTTTGTTTCTTTATTTTAATTTTTATTTTACGTGCATGGGTGTTTTGCCTGCATGTATTTTTTTGTGTACCACATGTGTGATGGTGTCCATGGCCAGAGGTGGCCATCAGATCCCCTGGAAGTGGTGTTACAGACTCTTGTGAGCTGCCACATGGGTGCTGAGAATCGAATCCTGGACTGAAGGAGCAGCCAGTGCTCCTAAATTCTGAGCCATGTTTCCAGCTCTTTCTGTCCTTGTTTTTTGCACACACACTTCGCTTTCTCCTGGACTGTGGGAATCCCAGGAGAACAGGCCTGTGAGTAACTAGCAGTTTGTGGGGATTGAAGACAGCTTATTTATATAGGTGCTACCACTTCGGGGATCAGAAGAAACATTTCCCTTCCCACCTGTGGAAGGATTTGCATGCTCCCTCTAGCCAACAAAGAGTCATAGAGTCTTAGCTGGAAAGAACCTTCAGACCCATCTTGTTTAAATTCATCCTTCCAGGGCTGGAGAGATGACTCATTGGTTAAGAGCACTGACTGCTCTTCCACAGAACCCCGGTTCAATTCCTAGCACCCACATGGCAGCTCACAACTGTCTGTAGCTCCAGTTCCAGAGTACCCAATTTAAAGTCATCCTTCCCCTCAACACCACCCCTTGCCCACCCTGAGCAGGCCAAGAGAGGGACAGAGCCTTGCACAGTGATGGGCTGCCGAGCTGGGTCAGAAGACCAATGCTGTGTTCTTGCAACTGAGACTCATGTTTTAGTTTAGAGGTGATGTATGATAGCTATACTGCCACATCCATAGGGGATCTGTTACAGGACCCCTGCAGACACCAAGATTTTTAAATGCTCAAGTTCCTTATATAAAATGGTGTAGCATTTGGCCCACATACAGCCTCCTGCATCATTCCTAGTTTACAATCATTCCATACTTATAATATCTGATACTACTTGAATACCATGCAAATGTGTCATGCTGTATTGTCTAGTGAATAATAGCATGTAAAAAAGCCATGCATGGCTCCAGGCGGTGGTGGTGCATGCCTTTAATCCCAGCACTCGGGAGGCAGAGGCAGGCATCTCTGTGAGTTCAAGGCCAGGCTGGACCGACAGCCTCCAAAACAATACAGAGAAACCCTGTCTCTTAAAACCAAAAAAACAAAAACAAAAACAAAAAAAACATGCATGTTTAGGATGTATGCAAATTTTAAATGAGTATTCTTATTCTGTGAAGGTTAGAACCCATATATACAGAAGACCGCTTGTCCTTACATCAGGCTGTTGTTTCCTGGGCTCTGTGGCTGCTACCCAGAAGGCAGTTCTACCTTGTCTCCAAGCCACAGTTCCAGCAGGCCAAACCCCTCACTCTCTTGCAGTCACTTGAAAGGACACAGAAGCTCTTCAGAAATACCTGACATGACATTCCTCTCCTTTAAGTCCAATTTCAAAACTAAAGCCAGGAAAAGTGCATATCATATGTGAGCATTCACAGGTTCTAGAAGCAAAGGAGAACCGCATATAGCACAGTTCTCTGCCCTATTGCTTCTTTGCTGAGTGGGAGCTTGCTTAGAGAAGGAGCACTTAGCTTGCTCACGAGGCTCAGGAAGCTTGAAGCCTGATACGAAGCGTTGTAAACAGGGCAGTCCGTCATCTCAGAGATGTACTTTACATATTTTCACACAGGCATCTGTACTGATTGGTTTTCTTTTTCTTCTCCGGGCAGACATTTGGCGCCGATGATGTGGTGTGCACAAGAATTTATGTCCGGGAGTAAAGGCTTGCTCCTGCTTTCACGACAGGATGCAAGTTCCCCTGAGGAGTATGTCATCGGCCTGCACAGCCAGTGGGTCTTTCCTCCCATACACCCCTCCCCGTAAACATTAGGCAACCCCATTCTCCCTATGACAGTGCTGTAGTGCCCTCCCCTCAGGCCCCTGCTGCCTTTGTGCATACCTGGTTTGGCATTTGCATGGTTGAACTGGTCATTAAACTGGTTGGACGTATCTCCAGGCTCTTTCCGTTGAGGGGGCACTGCTTCTGTTTCAGCGTGGGAGCTAAAGCAGTGCTGTGTTGGCCTGTGCCGTGTTTCCACCCTGGCCTCCTGGCCTAGCTAGAGTGCACTGAGCATCCATCAGTGTGTACAAGCTGAATTAGTCATGAATGGTTCCTAGTAGGAAAGCAGGCCCAATCCAAGACACATAAGGAAGGGACTGCTTACTTGGGCATCTATAGAGCCAGGATGAGGAGAACCGGCAAAGGAAGACGAGGCTCTTAGAGACTAACAACAGAAGGAGACTCACCACTCCCAGGTCTCAAGTCAGAGGGAAGGAGAGGTTAACACATCTTAGAGAGGTGTGGCCTGGGGGAGGGGTTCTGCAGGAGTAGTGGGATTGCAGAGAACGGGCTACTGTCACAAAAACATGAACAAAAGCCAGGCAGAGTCATGGCACATACCTATACTCTCAGGACTCTGAGAGCAGATGCAGGAGAATCTCTGTGAGTTTGAGAACAGTTTGGTCTATAGCATAGTTCCAGGACAGCCAGGATTGCACAGCCAGACCCTGGGGCAGTAGAAGACTTGGCTTTGAATGTGGAGTAAGAACCCTGATCTCTCTTTGCCTGGTCCTATTCATTTTGTCCATTGACCAATGCAACTGGATCAGTGACCAGAGCCAGGGAGAGGATCCTATTTAGAGATGCTCCTTCCCAGGCCACAGCCAAGCAGACAGTGGAGCTCAACAGGCAAATACAGACAATAACTTTCACACTTGCCTGTGTCTACATCTGAAAATTAGTAAATTTCACCTTAAAAATCTGGACTTGGGGCCTGGACAAGTAGCTCAGTTGGTAGCGTGCTTGCCTGGCATGTGTGAAGTCCTGGGTTTGATGCTCAGTGCAATATAAACTGGGAACAATGGGAAATGCCTGTAATACCAGTACTGAGAAGGTGGGACAAGAAGATCAAAAGTTAAAGGTCATCCTTGGCTACACAGCAGGTTTGGAGACCAGCCTGGAGTAGATACATAAGACAGTCCTTTAAAAAAGAAGACAGAAAAAAGGAATCTGAGTTTGTTTTCTTGAGAGAGGACACTGGGGAAACCTGGCATCCCTGGATCTACATCCCTACAGGACAGTGCCTGGCTCAGCATCCTCCTTGTTTGTACCCTCTGCCTCCTCCAGACCCCATACCTGTCCCTATGCTCATTTATCTGGCACGCTTCCCTTCCCAAGGGCTCTCAGCAAGACTGGGTCAGAGTGTTGGGACCTGGAAACAACCAGGAGACCCTCAAGAGTTCACACTGTGTTGGGGCAGACGCCTAAGGCCCGGGGTACCATCCAAGTGTGAGTAGGGATGCATTTACAGGAATCCTCACACCTCCCCAGCCCAGAGCCCTACTCTCTCCTATGCTTCTCAAAAAATTATGACACCTGTGCCAATCCTGAGACCACTCATGTCTCTCCTGTGATGCCATCCATGGCTTTCCCATACAGTCTTAGCATTGTGTCAGGTGGGGCTGGGCTCTGGATCAGAGTCAGGAGGAAGCCTGACACCGGGCCACATTTTGTCTTGGGGACCTGAAGTGCCTATGCTTGCGCCAAAAGTCCCCAATACAAACAACTTCCCTTCCTGCTGTCCTCCAGTACACCTGAGATCAGAGAGTGCAGGCAAGATGCCATCACCTCCACTCTCCCGTCTTCTCTGGCTCTGTCCAAGTTCATACTCAGTGCCCTAAAGCACAGGGTAGAGCGCTGAGGGGCTGCTCAGGGACTTCTTAGGGGAAAGGTAAGGAGACCTTTGAAGATGGAGTGGTCCCAGATTGATAAGCAATGGATACGAAGCACAGTCTCCTGAGTGGAGATGAGCTGGCCACACTTTGAGGACTCCACCTACCGGGTACTAGCTGTTCCTGGCCAAGATGGAGGGGCAGAGCAAGGTCTCAGACACTGGTCTCTTCCTCTCCCTGGTTCCCATTTCTGCATGGTCTTCTGTACATCTGGATCTGAACTGGCTGCAGAAAGGTTGGAAAGGCCCACCTCACTGTGGGAATCAGGCTGTTTCCACCATGGTCTTTTACAAATGTAACCTGCCACATGGAGCATATGCTACCTTCAGATTCACTTCACGGGGGATGAAGAACGAAGCAGAGTGAAGGAGGTTGTGGTCCTCGTTGGCTTGACAGCCAGAAGGCATAGGTAGGGACATCTGAATGGCAAGACCAGGTAATAGCACCAGTAGATCGCACAGAGCACCTGCTGTAAATTGTGTCTCTTGAATAGTATTGGTTTTACAATATAATTGGTTTTACATTTGCCAGATAAAGGCACAGTGTTTCTCATTCCCTTATGAAATACCTCTCGTTGGTTTATCCTATGGGATGTGGGCCCAGGAATGCCATATTTCCCATTCTCCTCTCTTAAGGAAACAGAAACCCAGATTTATTTTTCTTTTCTTCTTTGAGAGTGTGACATATGGTATAAATGCACTACACATGATAAGTAATACTTATGTATATTTTTTATGATAAAACACTATGACCAAGGCAGCTTATAAAAGAAAGCATTTAATTTGGTTTATGTTTCCAGAGGGTTAGAGTCCATGATGGTAGAGCAAAGGTATGATGGCAGGAACAGCTGAGAGCTCTCATCTCAAATGGCAAACAGGAGGCAGAGAGGCTGACAGGGAATGGCTAAGTCTTTTGAAATCTCAAAACCCACTTCCAATGACACTCCTCTGTTCCAGGATATTTGATGGCACTGTGAAACTCCAAGACTGTGTTCACAAAATTAACCATGGACTGGGGGCAGGGCCAGTGACTAGTTGACAGGAATTAGCCACAGGGAGGATGGGGAGACACACAGGAAGGAGTAGGGAGAGAATTAGAGAGTCTCTGCCTTTTTGGTTTGAGGAGAGTGGAAAGACACTCTCTTGCTGGGTCTCCAGCCAAAAGGAAGGTCATCTGGTTGCTTCTCCACTTCTCCAATCTAGCAAGTTTTCTAGACCCCATCAGTCTTTATTGGTAAATAGAACAGTCGAGATTTAGTTAAAACCTACATTTGGAGGCCTCAGTCAAGTTAGTGCCTGCAAGACTGGAAATCCTGCTAGGTCACAGTCTGAACCAGTCTGAGTGGCAGGGTGGTAACTGCAGGGCACAGTGTGCAGATGGTAGTTAAAATATCTATAGATTCAGGTGCAGTCATTACGCTCACAGAAAAATGACACACCTCCTAATCCTTCCTAAGTAGTTCCACCAACTGAAGACCAAATATTCAAACATGCAAGCCTATGGCGGCCATTCTCATTCGAACCATTACAAGACCAAGATTAAATCTTTATTATTGTTGGGGGGGGACATGAATGCCAATGTGGAGATCTAAGGACAACTTTCAGGAGTTGGTTCTCTCCTTCCACCCTTACAGGGTTCCGTGGATTGAACTCGGGTCGCCAAGCTTGCACAGCAAGCACCATCACCCACTGAGCCTGTCCACAAGATATTTTAATCTAAATAAAAATATCACTTGTGAGAATAATCTCACTTGTAATTCTAAACTCACTCCAAACTTGCCTCTCTCTTGCACAGCAACCCCCAGGGCCTATGGCAGGAAGGTCAGACTCTGGTGTGGCACCCAAAGCCCTCCATGATTTGGCTTCACCAGGTCTATCAGATTTGACTTCAAATTCTGGGTACACTTTCAATTGACAAGTGCTAGAAACCCAGCCACAGCCAATTCCAGCAAAAGGAAATTCTGCTATGCCATGCTCTGTTATGACTTGGGTGAACAAATAATGTAGTATACTAAGTGAAAGGTCCAGTATGATAGGATCCCATTTAAATTGAAATGTCTAAATTAGGAAAATCCATGCAAGTGCATGGTGGTTACCTAAGACTGGAGCTGTTTGGCAGAAAAGGGGAGTAATGGTTCCAGCTTCTTCTCGGGGTGGTAAACATGTTTGAAAACCAATGTAGTAATGGTTGCACAAGTCTATACACTAAAAACCACAGAACTGCACACTTTAAGTGAGTAATTGGTCTATGACCGTACCACCCTGAACACCCCTGATCTGGGTGAGTGATTGCACATGATGTGAATTATAGTCCATAGAGTTGTTGGGTTTTTCTAAAGGAACATGTGGACTTCTTAGCTCATGAACATATAGAAGCTCCCCTCAAAGAAGGAAGAGCCATAAGAGTGGGACTTTTAACAAGCCAAACTCACAGGCCCCTGAAGCTCCTCTGTCAAGCCACATTATCCACATGCTTAACATCCTTATGCAACTAGCTTAGGTCAAGTGACCACCCCTGTGCCAATCACAACGAGTGAATAAATAGGGTACAGCAGTTGGCCAGATGTTGATCACGTGACCTCATCTCTAACTGGATTAGAGTCTGTTAAGCAGGTAAGGGATAGAAGTGGGAATGGAAGTGAGTGGGTATGAACTGTGGTTGGTACCACTAGGTTGGCTAAAAATCCCTGGGTAAATTATTTAACCACTTTGAGCCTTGACTTCTTGCTTTATGTAAAGAACAAGGATAGGACTGGAGAAATGGCTCAGCAGTTCAGAGCACTGGCTGCTCTTGTAGAGGATCCAAGTTCAGTTCCAGGCATCCACATAGCAGCTCAAATAGTCTAACTTCATCCAGGGGATCCAAGGCCCTCTTCTAGCCTCTGTGAGCGCCAAGTATGTTTGTCATACATATACATACACACAGACAAACACTCACACATAAAATAAAAATAAATCTTTAAAAAAGAACATTGGGCGGGGCGTTGGTGGTG